TAACTCAACAGAACAACAAATGTAGATAAATACTAAATAATACAGTGAACTAGTTTACAGTCCTGAGTGTTTCTACAGGTATGCAAGACCCAAAATAAACAAATGGCCCCCTCAGAGATAATAAAGACGCCTTCAAATGTAAACGTAGATGATACGATTTATCACTGCTTTGGTCTGGTGGCTGCTCTGTTAGTTGTGGCTAAACTGCAAATGCTTCTTGTGCCGTCAGCAGTGGCAGGCTGTGCAGACTCCGCTCACATTTTCATGCTTTCTGCATAATTAATCAGGAAGTACTTCTTCAAATGATTAAACAGATCTGTTGTGTTGCTGGTTTTTCAGGGCACCGACCACCGACATACCTTACACATCGGCTTAATTGTTCAACGTCAGTTTAGAGATACCTGAACCACCGCCACACAACCGACGTTGAATAACTTTCCTTCTCAACAATGGCATCTTTGGAGGATGACTCAAAGTCATGGCTGACATTTATTTTGCTGCCCCCAATTCCACGTTTAGCTCCACATTTGGTCATTCTGCTTACTTCTCCTGTTTACTTCTCCAACAACTTACAGAAGTGAGCAGGAAAAGCTCAACTCTGATTGGCTGTTGTCACGCACATTTCTGCTATTTTTGATCAAGTAAATATCACAGCTGATCATCGTGATCGAACTGAAATTCATCACGATCATTAATCACAATCATATAATCGCCCAGTCCTAATTCAGCCTCTATTTTTGAAGTGAAATTTCTGCTCAAATAGGTTTTTTGGGTTTTTTTTTTTAAACACAGTTTTCTTGCTTCTTGTTGCCCCTGGACTGCATCATCCTGTGCAGAGTTTAGGAAATGACCAGAGTCATCCCACAGCATCAGAGTGTCCTGCCAGGTGTACAAGTGCATTACAGAATCTCTCCGTGACACCCTCACTGTGGAGATAAGGCAGAAATCACTGGAGTCCTCCTTGAGGCGAGACAGCTTGCATCAGTCAAGCTGTTTGGTGGCAAACTTGGGAGGTTCTGCTTGTACGCTGCTGAGCAGCAGCTGCAAGCAAGTGTAACTCTGTGAGTTTGATGAAGGGGTGTTGCTGGGGAAGAGCAAGTGTGCTCACTCAACCTTTTCTGGGTCAATAGCACTAAAAAAGCCACCAGTCTCCCTTCTCTCATCTCAATCAAAGCTTCTGCGTTAGTAATTTAGAGCGGGTGTAAAAAGGGAAAATAACTTGGCTCATTTAAATGCTAATTTGTCTCCAGCTGAAGACTCAGTACAATGGCAACAGGTTGGCAGAATATGGAAAACATTGTGTGAGAGCTCATAGATCAGACAGAAAGGCAGTTTACCGACCACATTTCTCCATAAAAATCTTTTATTTCTTCATGCATCTTTTCTTTCCCTGTGATGCTGCATAAATACACAGGAAGCAGTGGTCCGCACCGCTGCTGCCAACTGAAATCATTACTGATGCTTCCCTTTTCAATCACAGCCTTTCTGTCAGAGCTGACACTGGGGAGGCTGCTGTCTGGAAACATGTGATTTTAAACATGTGGAAATGAGATAGCTTTTAGCTTGTGACATAAGAGGCTTTGTATACATGAAGTGTAGGTGTAAAACTTGGAAAAGAGCACTGCAGCATGATTGAATGGACTGGTTTTCTATACAGATAGATCCACTTCAGGTTTGTATGATTTGTCTGTAGATCAATATAAAGTCCATTTAGTTCATAGTTAGACAAAGCCTGAAATGTAGAGAGAGCAGATGCATTAGATCTGAACAGGATTGAAATGTTCCGTTTCATTTCAGAGAAAATGGTAAAAACTTGACAAATGGAGGATCATAATTATCATGGATCAAAGCAGCTTCTCCTTGTTGAAGCCTGCTGTTGCTTGTAGGGTTTTACTAACAAGAAGGGTGAGCAGGGGAGCGTTTCAGTACAAAACTGACCAGTAGATACTAGGGGTGGGGATCACCAGTGGCCCCACGACACAATGTTATCACGATACTTGGGCAACGATACGATATTATTGGGATTTTTAACATTTTGCAATACAGTGAGCATTGCAATACAATATATTGCAATTTATACATTTTTTCAACGGTTTAGCTAATTTAGTATTTGTCTTTCCTTTATGTTTGTCTTATTTACACTGTATTTTATTTTTCATGTTGCTCATCTTACAAAACTTTTATATATTTGTTATACTAACTTTCTCCTGCTCTATGATGTCACTTCTGCCAACCTCACTAGACAAACAGTTGATTTTATTTTTCCATTTTCGTAGATATCACTTTATATTAACAATTATTTGAAAAAATTGATGCTTGGTAAATGAGACGATATGATATACCACCAGACAAAATAGCAACATACTATGCTGTATCGATTTTTTTCTCCCACCCCTACTAAATACTCCCATTTTAGTTTGATTCCCGGGTAATTTTTAGACAGGACTGCTGGAGAAAGGCGGGAAACATGGGAGACAGGGAGCATTGAGTTGATATGACATGTGTGATCTCGTTGTCTCTGGCGCTGCTTGCTGGGGTTTGACCAATCAAAATCAAGTATTTACCCCATCCAGGTGATTAGGTGGAATGCCACATGATAAAAAGTGTACATGTCTTTGTTGTGTTAGTGCCTCTTCGCACACAATCACATAGGATCTATCTGACGGTGCCCCCTTCACAGTTTCTTCCCTCTATTTTCTCCCTCTTTACTTGTCCATCTATTTCTTGAACCTCTCTCCATCCGTCTCTGTGTCATCTCCTGTCTGTCACCATTCCTCTCTCTCGCCGTCTGTTTCTCTCCGTCTCTCTCATTCTCTCTGTCGATCTGACGCCACGCTTGCTCTGCCAGTCTGTGATTGAGTGAGTTTAGAAGTTAGTTGGATACCCTTCCGCTCTCCCCCAAGGTTAACTTTAGACACACATGCACACAAACACACACACACACAAACTCACACAGAGGAAAAGAATAATGATAAAAAAAATACAAAAAGACTATAGACTATAGACTAAACTCCAACGTCAGTCTCTGATATTACAGATTTCATATCAAATCAAGTACATATCTCCAAAGAGTAAATCCTTTAATGTGACAATAGGAAAATTTGCATTTATGCTTGAACTTATTAACCCTCCTCCGGTGTTAGGGTCTGCACCGTCCCGTTTTTGATTTTAAATGCTTAAAAGAACCACATAAATCAGCTTTTTTTTACATCAAGGCTTTATGACTTTGTCAGGAACCTCTATTTCAATAAAATCAAAATTAAAAAATTAAACTGACTAAATTATAAAATGCTCTTATTAAAATTATGGCACTTGTTGTGTTAGGGTCGCTGTTGATCCGGTTAGATTAATATCTAATAATTAGAGCAAAAACTAAAATCACAAGTTCACTGTCAGGCACCACACTGACAGTCAGATCCTCTTCCAATCATGTGAGATTTAGGAAATTCTCATTTTGCCTGGTTTTTCCTTGCCCAAATAATGTCAATTTAGTATAGATGTCTGTGTGAGGGGTATACTGACAAAGAAAGGCCCAGAAGGCCACAATAAAAACTATTATAAGCAATATTTTCATAGATAATGAAGCCGAACAAGTTACCCTAGAGATGAGAACCAACTTGGATGATAGAGAATTGTTTTTAGTGTATTTTACAGCTGATTTAAGACACGGGTCAAAACCGACCCTTAACATGCTGGGTGCACAGTAAAAGCTAACACAGGAGGAAGGTAAAGCCTCAGATACACAAGAAACACAAGAAATGATCACATCCAGAAAACAGACCCTTGTCTGGGTCTGAACATCTTTTATGAGGGCAGCATTATGTTTTTTTATCTTACTTGTGGTGTATATGACGCTGGTCTTCCGACTCTTGTTCTTTCCCATCAATGAGACCACTCCAACTTCATAAGTCTGACCTGGAGTGAATGGGCCCAAATTAACACGCACAGACTGATTAACCCAGAGCGCAGCAGGACTGGACTTGTTTCTCCAAAGTGAAGATGGGGGAGTCATAGAGGGGTAAATAAGAGGCTGGAATGTGATGTTATAAGCATCCGGTGGGTCATCAGATGGACTGGACCAACAGACTGTCAGGTTTTCTGTCCCGCTCCATACTACTAGACCATGAGGGGCCTCCACCTCTGAAAAAAGAGGAAAAAGCTGAACAAAATAGTCTGTGATTGAAACTATAGTTATTCACACACTAGTATTGTGAGTTAATCATAAATTTTGTGTGTAAAAGAACATAAAAAGTTTAGGGGGGAATCGGAAAAACCACATAGCGGAAAGATTCTCTGTATTTTGAGAAAAGGATGGAGATTTGACTGCAAAACAACCTGAGGAGAGCTGCACAGGTATGGGCGAGGTAGAGCTGGATAAAATAGGATTTGCTTTAATTATGGGGTCCAATACCCTAGACCAGGCAAACCAAGAAAGGTTTGATCTGCTCTAAATAATTCATGTAAACATCATTGTGAGTTACACTTTGTGTTTTTGTCTAGGTTTAGTGAACAATGCCTTCACTTTATACTTAAATATGAAAAGTAGTTATTTTCTGAGACGGGGAGAATTTCAAATGAAGGCCTGCCTCTAATAAAAGCCTGCTTTATATGAAGGCCCGGTACCTGAGGCTGTGAAATCAAATAACCCAGCAAAAGTTGTCTCTAATTCAGTTGCCATGGAAACATTAATACAAACATGCCTGATAATTGGAGTCTTTTTGTTTACGTTTGAATTTGAATTTTGATGACATCATCAGGGGGGATAGAATCCATGACCTGTCAAAGGACAGGATGTATGTATTTGAACATCTAAAAGCTTGTGAGCTTCTTCGATTGCTAGAGAGAGACAGCCAGATAGAGAGATATCAAATCCAAACCCTGTAATATCAATCCAACTGTTCGGACTGATCAGTGATTCACAAAGTTGGAAATCATCGGTGCTTGAGAATCGTGAAATCCAAATCTTTGAATACCAATCAAACTGATCAGCTATGAGAACAATGGAATCAAAATTTCCAGATCTTCGTTTCTTCCGTGCCCAAGAGAGTAAGTATTGAGAATGGTTAGAGACCAAACTCATGTCTAGTTTACCTATGATCACTTTGAAATAGGTTGAGGACTACACGATTGGTTACATGAAGCAGGTGAAGCTAACATGATTTTATCTTTCTGTTTTTTTTTTCAGGGAGTTTCTTGGACCCTCTAGAATACTGCAGAGTGGGAGAACGTGAGATCAGCTCAAAGAGAAAGTCTGAGGAGCCGCTCAATGAAAGACCCAGCAAGAGGAGCAGGACGAGCCTAAGTCCCTCCAACAGCTGCAACCTGACTGTCCACTGTCCTTCATTGAGTTCAGACTCCTCCACTAAGTCTTCTGTCTGCTCAGGTAAGATGAGAAAGAAATGACAGAAAAGTTAATTAAGCTTGTGTTAATTGGGTAAATGCTACTTTGAGACATAAGAGCAAGTCATGTATCAGATAATTGGAACTGGATAGTCATGTACCAGTGTGCCTGGTTTGGCATTTGATGTTGGCTCTCTGATTTTTTAATTCATGTCAATCTTATTCTGGCTGGCTTCCATAAATAATATGTTTATTTTTGTGTCCTCTCTTGTCTTCTCGTTTGTCTCCTTTTTTCAGAAGACAGTTGGTTCCCCTCTCTGTCCACCAGTAAGTCTGTGCCAAAGACGAAGAGCAGCAGTAAAAGAAAGGCCCCCACTGATGTGACTGAAGAGAGCCCAAGAAAGAGAAGCAGGCTCACCATCACTGCTGAAGACCACCTTGAGACCTCCAAAGGGAACCTTGACATCTCATCAGCAGAGATCAGCAATTCTAACACAAGAGGTAAGATGGCAAAGAAATGCAATTTTTACATAAAGGCCTTATGAATTTAAATGTTGAGTATGTTTGATCATTGGAGTACAATTCTTAGTAGTAAGTAAGACTATTTTTATCAAACTGTTTTCGTGTGTTTCTTGTTTTTGTAGCTGCCTTCCAAGCAAAATACACAGAGAGGGGCCTGCTTGGAAAAGGAGGATACGGGTCAGTCTATGCTGGATATAGAAATGAGGACAATCTACCGGTAAGATTAAATGTTCCATACACTTATGTACCAGTGTATATAACATACCCCTGCTTTTTTGCTTTGTACTCAGTGTGAGCTAACCATGGTCTTCCTGTGTTTCCTCTAGGTTGCCATCAAACATATTCCTCAATCGGGCGTTAAGTGCATATCAGTAAGTAAGGAACTGTGTCCACTCACAGCTGTTGATTTTTATAAACTGACAGCGCCCAATACCTCAGTTTCAGACACTTTTCACAATGTTACATTGTTAAAAAAACGTCCTCTGTCACTTCAGTTCCATGACAAGTGACTGATTTTAGTCTGTGAGAAAATGCTCCATATGTTCTTATTCAATTTTTTTATATTAAGATCAAAGAGGAAAACATCGACTCTGTCCCCCTGGAGGTGGTGATGATGCAGAAAGTGCAGTCAGGAACCCCAGGAACCAGTGCAGCCGTGGCCCTGCTTGACTGGTACGATCTAGAAGAGGAGCTGATACTCATCCTAGAGAGACCAGTGCCCTGCATGGATCTGTATGATGTGTTAACAAAAGGATGCCGCATGACAGAGAATGGTAAATAAAGTAAGTACTTGATGAAATGTGTTTTGCAATGTTTTCTTTTTATACTGTCTGTCTCCACCATGATACTCAATCTGTATATATCTCTCTTTCCACCTCAGATCCTGACAAAACAGCTGGTAGATGCCCTCATAGAGATCCACTCAAGAGGAGTTTTCCACAAAGACATCAAGGTGGACAACATCCTGATCGAGTATGGCTCTGCAATCCCGCGTGTGAGACTTATAGACTTTGGCTGCGGCACTTTTCTGACTGAGGGGACGTACCATTCAGGGCAAGGTAAGCTATCTCTCAATGAACATTGTTTTTTAAGGGCTTTCCACAAACATCAGATAGTCAGTCAATGTAAAAAAGTAGGCAACTTGCAGTGTTAGCAGTCACTGTATGAATTGAGTTTGAGATTTTAAAAAATTAGATATTAGTAAGTTTTTTTATTTATCTTATTTAGCCTTTATTTAACCAGGTAGGTCCCATTGAGATCAAAGATCTCTTTTTCAAGGGAGACCTGGCCAAGAGGGCAGCAGTGAAGTTACATTACAAAAGAAAACAATAACACATAAAATATAAAATTTACAGCATTCAAACTTTCTCACATAACACACGTGCATACAGACAGTGTAGACTGCAGACCTTTTACAGTAGCTTTAAACTCACTCAATGTAACTAGGGCTTTAAGTTGAAGTTTAAATTGTAATTTATTCCAAGCATCAGGTGCTGCAAACCTAAATGCTTTCTTGACCAGTTCAGTTCGTAACAAATTGCAGAACAAGTTTGCAGTGGCCTTTCTTGCCAACAGCAAGTGTGTGTGGAAAGCCCTGTTCTCTTTTTGAAACCTACCAAACAAAGTTGCTGTGTCAGTCCACAACATCTTTCCTAATCTCCTCTGTGTGTGTGTCTTTTGTAGGAACCCCTGATTTTAGCTCCCCTGAGTGGTTCATCACTAAGAGCTACAGAGCTGAACCAGCTACAGTATGGCAGCTTGGAGTAGTAGTTTATGCTATGGTTCATGGATGCTATCCTTTTGATACCACTAACGAAATCATTAACAAAGAGCTAAATGTCGACGAAAAACTTTCCAACAGTAAGTAATCACACCCACATAAAGTCAGTTTAAGCACAGTTAGATCCACAGTAAGTGTTTGTATCTGACCATTGATCATTTCTGTTTTGTCTCTCCAGACTGCAAGGATTTTCTGTTTAAGAGTCTGTCCAAAAATCCTGAGACTAGAGCAACCCTGGCAGCACTAAGGGACCACCCATGGCTAGTATAACACACAAACATACCAACAAACAAACAATCAAACAAACACAAAGGCTCACTGAGGAGTACAAGTCCGAGGTCCTCATTGTCAAACTAGAGTCAAAGATCTAGTCTCACCTAGACCAGAGCATTCCAAGCTAAAAACAACAACAAAAAACTAACAAAAAACTCATCTTTAAAGCCACCAAAAGGCACTTTAAAGCTCCCGTGAGCAACTTTTGTATAGTGTCAGTTCTGGCACCTCCTTGAGGACAAAGTAGTCTGTGGTAAACTAGACAGATTTTCAAATGAGACCTAACACAGTCCTCAGATTTTCCCCTACATAATTTTGGCACACATGACCAAAATTAGGTCGGCTACCAATTGAAATTTAAAACATCTTGAAATATGATGCATAATTATCAACAAATCAACAAAATAACACAAAACAAAAAAAAAAAAAAAAAAAAAAAAAAAACCCTGTGGTTTTTCCCTCCCCCATGGGAGGGTTTTTCCCCTCCTTGAGCTACCACCTTACCGTGGTGGAGGGGTTTGCGCATTCCAATGATCCCAGGAGCTAAGTTGTCGGGGGCTTTATGCCTCTGGTAGGGTCACCCATGGCAAACAGATCCTGGGAGAGGGATCAGACTAAAGGTAGCTCAAATAGATGTCTTACGAAAATAATTGGTACTAAGTTTCGCTTGCCCAGAAGAGGGTCACCAGGGCCCTGCCCTGGAGTCAGGCCTAGGGGTTGGGTTTGATGGCGAGCACCTGTTGGCGCTTGCCATGGGCTCACCACCCATAGGAGAGGCCAAAGGGATCCGGTGCAGTCCGTGCCAGGCAGTAGCCGAAGGTGGGGGACCTTGAGTAGGAAGACCCTACCCACCTGCTGGAAACGAGAGATCCAGTACTGTTTAGCTATTACAGGGGATCCTTGAGGCAGATATTTAACAAGACAATACAGCCTCATCAAAGAACGTCTGGAGTGAAACAGGCTGCTGTTAACTCACCAGGATAACAGTGAGGTGGATCAGCCCTAATCAGGCTAATGTAAGTTTCCGTAGTGTAGTGGTTATCACGTTCGCCTAACACGCGAAAGGTCCCCGGTTCGAAACCGGGCGGAAACAGATTAATTTCCCCTCCTACTCAACTCAGACGCTCAATGGTGGCCCACTTAAACCTGCTTGAATATTGAGTTCAAGGGGCTGATAGACATTTTCATGAAGTGACTCGAGCGCCCTGAGAGTGGCAGCAAGTCACATCAGCTCCTCACAGACTTTACGTTTTTGCCTTCTTATTGTCGTTTTTTTGGCACCTTATTTGTCTTTCTTTTATTCAGCAGTGTTGTGTCTTGCATATTCCAACCATGGATGTGCATTTCATGACTCTTGCACTTTGTTTTCTTTTACTTTTCGGAGTTTTTAAGTCCACGGCCGGCGACCCATTCAGTGGCCCCATTGTTTACAGCCGTGAACAGCTGTTGGCGCTGCGCCAAGCCCGGCCACCTTCGTGGGAGAGACCGGACATCCCCGCTAAGCTCCGCAGGAGAAGAAGAGGATGCAGGGCTGGAGTTCAGCATCGGGCAAAGCAGAGACGTTATAAACCAACTGTCCCGTCCATCATCATGGGAAACGTGAGGTCTCTCCCCAACAAGATGGAAGAGCTCACAGCGCTGACTAGGCTGCAGTGGGAGTACCGTGAGTGCAGCCTCATGATGTTCACAGAGTCATGGCTGAACGAACTCACTCCGGACCCGCTCGTAACTTTGGACGGATTTCACCTCGGCAGAGCAGACCGGAGCATCAGGGAGAGTGGTAAGAAGAAAGGAGGCGGGATAGCAGTGTATGTGAATGAGAGATGGTGTAATGCTGGGCACGTCAGTGTTAAAGAGCAGCTCTGCTCTAAGGACATTGAGCTGCTGGCTGTGAGTTTGCGGCCATATTACCTGCCGAGGGAGTTTTCGCACGTCATCGCGTTAACTGTTTACACCCCCCCCCTCGGCTGATGCTGCTGCAGCCTGTGAACTCCTCCATAGTGAAGTGTCCAAGCTACAAACATCACACCCTCAGTCTCTGATCATCATCTCTGGAGACTTTAATCATGCATCGCTGTCCTTCACTCTCCCTACTTTCAGCCAGTATGTAAACTGCCCAACAAGAGACAATAAAACTTTGGACTTACTGTATGCAAACACCAAGGATGCATACACCTCCTCCCCCCGCTGGACCGCTCAGATCACAACCTGGTGAGACTGCAGCCCATTTACATACCTATGGTGAAGAAACAACCCCCCACCATCAGGTATGTTAAGAGGTGGTCTGAGGAGGCCACTGAGGCGCTGCAGGACTGTTTTGAGACCACAGAATAATAATGCACTAATAATACTCACACCACCATCCCCACTGACCTGTAGGAGTCAGGACAGAGGAGCACAGCAAGTGAGAGGGGAGACACCTCTACTGGAGAGGTTAGTCTAAAAGAATTCACAGGAGTGATGCAGACAGTCTGATTAGAATTTTATGGAACTCAATATGGATATGAAATATGAAATTTCAGTCATGGTGCACCATATAAGACTTATTTCACTTGAGTTTTTATTTAAGAGAGTCAAGATTAGAAAGTGGAGAGAGCCAAGAGATAAATTAGCCTGACCCAAATATTTTGGGGGGTTCTATTTTAATATTACTTTAAGTCAAGTAATTTAGTAATATTTTTCAGGGCTTTAAATTGCAATCATTTTAGTCACATATGAGGCCAAAATGTGATCTGTGTAACATCTTACTATTTGGGAGCAAAAAATTACTGTGGTGTGTGAGCTCAAGTCATGACATTAGCCTCTATGTTGGATTAGTTATTAATTCAATGTGTTTCAATGTATCTTGGAGGGTTAGGCAGAAGGAAAGGCTGAGGAGCTGCAGCAAATGGCAGAGGAAGCTGAGAGATGAGAGCAAACAGGCCAAGAGAGGGAAAATAATGAAGCAGCTGCAGCAACTCATTCCACTACAGGGTTTGATTTAGGTGACAAAGATACAGGGCCCAGACAGGTCAAGCTGAAGAGCTACCCACAAGATAGTTTTGGTACACAGAAGCGAGCATTTCACTACAGCTGGTTTGAAAAGCACAACTGGTTAGGATATTCAGTCAACCAGAATACAGCTTTCTGTTTCCCATGTAGAGTGTTTGGCAAAAACATAAAACATGATAGTTTGGTCAGTAGTGGTTGCAAGAACTGAAGAAAAAACAGACTGAAATAAAACAAAAAAACTACTGGTGGCCTGAGACTATATCTTAGTTAAATCGGTCCAAAAAAGCTGAAAAGCAATTTCTCAGTCTTTGTTTTCTGTTTGTGAAATTTTGTGCTCGCTCACTACGTTCACTCACATCCTGTTCATCTCTTGGGGGCTAAGCCCCCCCTGTCCTTAAAACCTAGTGACGCCCCTGACACAAACTCAGGCTTGCTGACCTCAGTGTGTACATCATTTCTTTGGCTCTTCCTGGTATTTGATATGCCTCACTTCATGGCAAACGTCTTCCAGCACACAATTACCTTTTGTGAGTAAGTGTGCAGATTTGTGTGTGTGTGTCTGTGTGTGTGTGTGCGCGCGCACGTGTCTGACTCATTTAGATTGTGCACTGTATGAATTTCCATTATGCAGGCTTGACAAGGAAATGGCCTCAATTTTTAATTGGGGAGGATTCGGCTGTGACACAAGGTCATTGGCTGATAATATGTCAATTATCTGTCACACAGCTGAACTAGTGAGCCAAGAGGGAGAGATGGAGAGCGATAGAGAGAGGAAGAGAGAGAGCAGATGAAAAGGAGAGGAAAGCAGCAGCTTCATTTAGCTTGTCAGCCATCTATCCCAGTCGTGACATGATGCACACTCGCACAGAGACTGGTAGAAGGGATCAGAGATGGAGGAGGACACAGAGAACAAGATGTATTCTCATAATATCTGTGATTATTATTCCACATGTTTGATCCTGTGTCACTGACGCATGCAAACACACTCACAGATACTGACACAGACACACGCAGACATAAAAGGCAAAGTCACCTCAAAGCTCAAACGCAAAAACTCTTCAAAGCATCCGTCCCCTTTTTTTCTTTTTACACTCTTCTCATCCTCTGTTCGGTCCATCCACAACCTCAAGTCGCGATGGTTGTAGTGGGCTGCATTTTTAATATAAAAGCAACCTGTTAATCTTCTCTGACTCACTTTTAAATCAGACTTTGGACATCAAAGATTCAGCATTGCTCTGTCATTTTTCTGTCTTCGTTGGCATGGTGTTTCTCCCCCAAAATATAGATTTTTGAGCTTTTTTTAAATTTGTTTTCTGCAGGCAGATCCAAGGTCCTGTACTACAAAGTGAGCTCCACATGAGCTCCTATGATTTGAATGGAATATGAAAAATGTAAATACATAATCCAGATTAAAATCAATAAAGCAGCGTTTACAAAATTGAGAAAGAACTGTTAGATAAGAGGAAACTGTGTCTGAAAATGAAGACTTGAACATGGCTGTCCCATTGTCAAAGTGCAGTTATGACAGTATTAGACATCATATTTGAGCTGCAGCTGTTAAAGTATTAAAGGGAGTGATACAGCGATGATAAGGGATAAGCATAAATAGTTTTATATCTAATTTCGATGACACCTTCATAAAGGTCCTCATATCTGTCCAAATGCACCCTCTGAACCATGCCTCTGTTCACTCAAAGCGTTTTCACACTTGGATCACTTGGTCACTTTGTTCTGAATCAACCTCATGGATTGTTTGGACATATTTGAATAATTATAGACTAACATTAATCGCCATGCACATCTGTTAAACTTGAGCAGAAGAGCTGGTTCTTGGGTATGGAACACCATGGGACTCCATAATGGTTCAGAGAAGTTTCTCCAGCTTGTTGAATTAGGGGAATTTGTCCTTCTTATAATTAGAACCCCCATTGCTGTTAAACTTTACTGACTGTTGTGTGACACTGCTAAGCAAAGAGGTCAAAGCCTTCAAACGTTTGTGTTTTGTT